AGATCTCCATATTTGCTTCTCTTAGTCAAAACTTGTTTTTCTCTAAGCAACTGTAGATTTTCTCTTGCTGATAGGAATTATGACTCCTTAAATTTGGACTCTGGGGCAGGCATGATGGTACATGTCTGTAATCCTAGTACTCTGGGAGGCTGAAGCAGGAGGATTGCAAATTTGAGCCTAACTGCAATTTAGTGATTTACAAGACCCTGTCTCAAAATTGGAAAAGGGTTAGGGATTCAGCTCAGTGCAAAGGCCCCGAATTTAATCATCCGGTGGCGGTGGTGGGGAGGACCCAGACTCATAGATCAGTGCATGCTACACTAGTGATCATTTAATGTTCATTCAGAGTAACCAAAGCACTGAATAAAAGAGGAACAACTCTTTTCTTTTAATGGACACTGAGCAAATGCTATTGATGTTTTTCTTTCCTCTTTGGTACAATGGGGATCCAACCCAGGGAATGCCTAACTACATCCCCAGCCCTTTTTAAAATTGTGAGACAGGGTCTCACTAAGTTGCCCAGGGTAGGCTCAAACTGCATTCCTGCCTCAGTCTCAAAGAGTGCTGGGATTATAGAGTTGTGCTGCCACAACCTTCTTGTAGAGCCCATTTCTAAACAATATTCAAGTAAGTTTCTGAATTATAAAATATTTACACATTCTAGTTGCTTTGTCATCTGTTCGTGGATGGTGTTTTAAGAAGTACAGAATCTAGAACAGGGGAGGTAATTCCCAGACTTGAGAATTAGCATTTATTGGCTTAAGAAGTGGTTTCTACAGATGGCCAAAGGGACACGACAGGCTCTGCTGCACAGTGTGCAGAGCTCACCACAGGTGCTCAGCGAACATTTGCTCAGTGTTCCCAGAGCTCCAAATACGCGCAAGCATATGATGTGACACTGTTGTGCATCTTTCTCCATAAATAACAAAGGATGTCTTTAAAACTTAAATTGATATAGCGGCATAACACTAAGAAAATCTATCCACGTCTGAACTCTTAAAAAAAAATCATTTATTGATCCTTTACCATACAAAATTTATTCAAATTACATCCATTTGAAGTGGTAAGATCACAGCTAGAGAACAGGTCACCCTGTAACAAATCTATTTACAAAATCCATCATAAAAGCCTTTTTTTGTCCGTTTTTTTATACATTATATTACATATTTTCTTTTTTAAACTAGCATATAACACAAAGCTAAACTGATTAGTAGTTTGCCTACTCCCAATCTTGGGAGAAATACTTCCTTTTTACAAAATCTTGTACCCTGTAGGAAGAGAAATTCCTACACTCTGACAATTGCCACTCAACTTCCTCTGCAAGGCATCTTCCTTCCAATCCTTCCTTCTCATACACACAAGTTGTCATGCATGCACTGAGTTCCTACTTCCTTTTCCTGAAAGCTAACGCTTTAAATACTGCAATTCTATTTACAGGTCTACATGTAAGACAAAAATGAAAAGAACCACAACCACAACCACAATGACAACAAAAATCCAAAAACAAGGTAACACTCTTAAAAAATTACAAACCAGCTAGAAAATATTCTGGCAGTGTTTACAAATTAATTGCTAGTTTTGTACAAAATTGCTAAATAATGAAGATGTGAGTAGACTACATATCAACTTAAATAAAAAGATTGCTATGCACAACTCTGTACATATAAACACACACCTAACACTGTTTGACAGCTCATGTGTTGCCCTTTTTACACTTTATTTTCTAAGGCTCACGTAGTCATAATTCGCACACTTAACTTTTAGCCTTTCATGTGTGAGCTTTAATAGCAGCAACTCAATGGTACCAGGAAACCTGCATACTTACTACTTAAAGTAACACAAATACTGTAGTACTAACCCACTTGGTGTGCCAGATACTATGGGGAAAAAAAAATGACTAACGCCAACAGAATACAGTATGGATGTCTAATTCATGCACCCCAGTTAAGCTCATTAACTGGAAAAATCATATGTACAAAAGAATTAAGACTTATTAGTATTCCTTTCATTTTTTTTTTAAACAATAAATACAGCATTACATCACGAAAAGGTTCAACGAGAAAAATCAACAAAACACACAACAACCTAGCCAGGTGAGCTCAGTCTTTAGACTTTGGAAAAAAATCAGCTCTGTGCAGCTGGCAAAGAGAATGAGCCAGAGCTGGAAGCAGAGGCAGCTAACCAGATGAGATAAATATGGGACAGGGGGGAAAGGTTGGCATAAATGGTTTCCCATGCAGGAAAAAACCCCACAGTGCATTTCCAGTAGGCACTTAACACAAAGCTCCCTCCCTCCTCCACCCCAACGCTTTGTCTCGGACCACACGGATATTCTGTACCAAGTCCAGTGTGTAAGGGGAGGAGGCTGAAGAAGAGAGAGGAAGATAGTCTGCACCTTTGTTTTTCTTCCCAAACACACACCATGCATACCCACACACAGAGTTTAAAGTGCTGGTGTCATCTGTCTGGACCCCACCACCACTTTGCATATTGTGGAAATCTATCTAGAGTAAACTGGCTGGGGTTCTTGTGGTTTATTAATTTGTTTGCTAAGGGTTACCATCAATCCAATCCAATGTGTAGGAGTCGAGTGCCTACCACGTGCCTCCCAACGAGCCAGGCACACAGCTTTTCAATTCAACTGTTCGTTCAGAGGTTAGTTTTTTGTGACTTCCTCATTTCCGAAGCCCTTAGCATCCAAGGAGTGGATTTGAGGTACTGTGCCACCTTCCCAGGAGGAGATGGCCATGGCCATCTGCCAGTGGGAATGCCATTCTTGGACACAACTGTAGGATCTGCAGCTGACAGGAAGCTTCCAACTTGGGACACCATTCCTGAGGAGAGAAGAGGGAGATGCCCAGGCATTCTATCGCTTCATTTCCTACCTCTGGACTTCCTTTAGTCTAACACACCCCTTTCACAGAGGAAGGGGAATTGGATGTGGCCAGGACTATTTTACCCTGACACAGTGGAAGCACTCTGCTCTTTCCAGCTCGAGGAAGTGCCCCCAACAGAATGCCACTGACACAATGGGGATCTTTCTCCCTACAGGACTCTCCATCTGACCCCATCCTGAGAAGTGGTCTCCCTGAGTGTGGCATAAAAGCCCTTTCCCCGGTCACAGGGGCCTGGGAAGCCCAAGGACGGAGGGGTCCACGCCTGCTGCTCCTTGGGACTGCTTCATCGTCTGACCCGTTTTCCTTCCCAATGGGCCATCCATGTCCAGGAGCTCCAGGGTGGACTGGCCCCCAAGACCCCCTCCTGGGGAAGGAAGCAAGATGGGGCAGTGATTCTCGCAGAGGCTGGTAGACCTTAGGTCACACAGGTTTAGATGCTCTGATAGGTAGAGGTTCTCTCTCCCTTTGCTAAAGCAATATGAATTTGCAAAAACCGCTTCAAAGTAAACAATTAACTTGAAATGGTGATGGGTACCACAGGAATGCTTAAATGGCAGCTAAAGAAAAAAAGTCTGAAACAATCCACAAAGAACTCCTAAGTAGGCATTTGCTACAAAGCAACTGGAAACTCACAAATACGCTGGGGACAGGGGAGTGGGAGTGGGAGTGGTAAAATGGAGACAGGAAAATCCACAACAGCTTTGAGTGGCAGAACTCCACTAGTCCTCTGTATCCAAAACAAGTACTCTGAAAACAGGTTCTTCATCCGAAAGGCTGTGGAGGTTCTCGTGACCTCCTAGTGGGACACAAAGCCCATAGCTTAAACTGAAGTATGAGAGTAATTTAAATATTCCTAAGAAGAGCTGAGGAAATCCATTTCATACTTTTGCATGACTTCAAGTTTGCATTTGCTGCAGTTCCATTCCATATTAGCAGACCCCAAAGACATGCATTCTGCAGAGAAGGCACGGCTTGAAATGCTATTAGGGAAGATTGCTGTTTTCCAGTGGGCCAGGTGGCTGGACCCCATTCTACAGCCCATCGTCAGGCACAGCAAGCCAATCTGAGAGGGAAGGAAGGAGAGAGGAAAAGGACAGGCAGGAGACACCTGATTGCACATTTTCTCACTTGCTGACTCATCCAGGAGATTTTGGAGCCTGGGACAAGGCAGGGATTTCCCAAGGGAGCCTGCAACTGTGCGCTTAGACAATTATTTAATTCATTAAAATGTCAGCTTCGTTCGGAAGTTTGTAGTTTACTTCATGATACTCTCTTGGAGGAAGAAGGTAGGAAGGGACAACACTGCATGACATGTTCTTGTTCCAGGATAAAAAAATATTGGTTTATAAGGAAAGTTCACACACAGCATAATCAACTACACATAAAGTCTTCCACCAATGGGAGCTTTTCCAAATCATAGGCATCAAAGAGATCGCTGATGCCATCTTCCTCACCCAGGCTCAGCAGGTAGTCCTCTTGAAGTAGGGGAGGCAGTAAGTTCACAAATGGCCCCTCCAGGTTGGAAGGGATTTGGTCCTCAGTCTGCTGTAAAAGGTTAGCTGGGGAGGCCAGAGGAGAAAGGTTTGCCATAGAAATTGAGCAATCGTTATGTCCTGAGTTATTTGAAGCCAAGTCTGAAAAGAAAACATCAGTGGAAACCAAAAGCAAGTTAGAAGAAAACCAGTTAATTTTTTCTATCACTCTGCTAATGACAATGGGATGAATGTACTGCACACCTCATACCACTGTTTACACTAACAGCCACGTCGGAGTGACTTGTCACCTTCCTCTGTCCTAGTCTAAGTCATCTTTCAAAATATCTGCTGCCAGAAGACATGCAAATAGCTTTGCAGATGAGAGGCTAACAAGTTCAAAAACTTCTCTCCAATAACGAGTTGTTGTTTTAAGAAAAACAAAACATAAATACTGAAGAGTTAGCTCCCCAGGAGAACTCACCAATTTTAACGCAGTCTTTTATGAACACTCAACTTATGAAAGATACCTCTAAAAATACATATAAGAGGGCACATCTACTTTGAATTTCTATGGTGAAAAAGGATGATCCTTTGTTTTTACCATTTCAGGTGCTGCATTTTTGCTGAGTATTTTTTTTTTTTTTTTGGTACCAGGGATTGAACTCGGGACCTTACGCCTGCAAAGCAGGAGGCGGCACCACTGAGCTAAATCCCCGGCCTGTGCTAGGTATTAAGTCAGACCTATTCATTTAAATCACAACTTTTGCTGCTAATATTGGGAGATGGTAGGGGAAAAATTAAACATGTATTTCCAAGCTGAAACTGCAAAGAGCTTTGCTCTAGCAACAGAGGGGGGCAGGAGAGATTAAGATTTATTTTCTGAGGGTTTTACAACTGTAAGCTCTTCCCATCACATTAGGAGGGAAATAAAAACTCCTGGACAAAGGCTATTCTCTCTGAACTTTTCATTCCTTCTCTGATGATCTCTGCACCATCCTTCAAAGGTGTTTGGCCAGAGTAGTGGGTAAGCCACCAAGACAATGCAAAAAATGGCTCTTGCCAAGCAAAGGCTGAAGGGACTTCAAGAATGAATGGAGGAAGCTTTGCCCAAGATTACTGTTTATTCTACAAACCAGTCAGAATGCCTTTTAAAAAATGCTACCTTAGTAACAATAGAGACTTTTGTCTCCTGCTTAGACTTCAGGATCCTTCTAGTCACCCTCATTTCTAATATAGTTTCCAAAAGACAAAAGTGGAATTTTTACCTTTGGAAGTGGGTTTAGGGATGTTCCCATTGTGGTCTTGGTTGTTTGTTTTCATTGGACTGTGTGTTTCAGTCTCTTCCGGACACAAGTAAACCTCAATGGGTCCTTGGGTACTTGCCAAATGGATTTGTAGGCTCTATGAACAGAAACGACAGAAGTTCAATGCAAAAGTTTTTTTTAGAAATGAAAGCCAGAGTATTGCCATCTAAAACTGAAATGTCAGGGTAATGTTTATTGTTCATTTTGCTTCTCTGCTGGTAGTGTAGCTCTACCAATGACTGTCTTCCTGTAAAGCAGGGGTCAGGGACCTAAAGCTAGAGGGCCAAAACCAACCCACCAAATGGCTTTGTAAATAAAGTTTTATTGGAGCATAGTTGTGGCCATCCTCACTGAATGTATCGTCTCTGGCTGTTTTTGGTGGTTTTTTTTGGTAGCAGGGATCGAACTTGAGACCATGCGTTTGCGAGGCAGGCACTGGAACTACTGAGCTAACTCCCTGGCCCCTCTGGCTGTTTTGATATTATGAAGGCATAGTCTAGAAGTTGAATAGCCTGAAAAGTCTGCAGGGCTCACAAAGCCAAAGACATTTACCATCTGGCATTTAGAAAGACAATTTTTTTTGGATGGTGGGGGCGGGGGGGGGGGTGTCAGTCTGTAAAAATGACACTACAAGTAAATTATGTTTAGATTAAATTTAGTTTCTACAAATTATTAAAAGGTCCATTTAGTATTCCAAATAGAGCATTGTCATGTTATTGTTCCTTTATGGTAGGACTTTCTAATGCTGATTTTTAATAACTAACTTATATACAGCATTCCTAGGAATTGCATTTAATAAGAGACTACAGCACACTGGTATTTAAAATTCCTTCTTAAGTTACGGCATTGATAATAATCTTTCAAGGTGGGAGGTCTATCTTAGAAGGGGCTTGTAAAGCTCTCTCCCCTATGCATTTTTTCACTGCAGTTCTGTATCTTATCATTGTAGTCTAGGCCAAAATTATCAAAGTACATCTGAAAGTAATCACAAAAACATGTGGCCTACTTTCTTAAAATATTCGAGTCTATCAATTACTTCAAGGTCCCATTTAGTTTCATAAAAGTAAACATGTTAAAAAGTGCTATAAAAATTCATAAAATGTGCTAAGTTAGGGAGATACTTCACAGCACTTGTATCTCTCTTCATGGTGGCAACTAGATACAAGGTAATCAATATCAAATTTCTCAAACTGATCAAAACCGCCAGGTAATAAATTATGAAAAAAAAAAATTAAATAAAGTACAAAAGGGACAGGGCATCATGGATTGCTTCCAGCTCAGTGCCCTGCTAGGTTCAAATTAGGCATTTTGGACATTCAGTTGAAATGTTTTAAAGTTTAGGGTTATGGAAAATAAATGGGAAATAACTATCAAAGGAAATGGGAGTCAACTGTCAAGTTCTTAGAACAGGTCAGGCTTTCACCATGAGTCGGTGATTCTTCAACTTCAGACATTCCGAGATCTCTGCAAATGCACAAGGCCGCAGTCTCCTTACCTCTACGGAGTCAGGCACTTCAAGTCTTGTTTCTGGAGGGGCTTTCACAACTATAACAGTTTGGTCTTTAAGGCCACTAATTTTTCGAATATCTTGATAGGTAACATAAGCTAACGTAGCAAGAGTTAAGGAAATCTTCCGCCTAATTGCCTCAGATATAGCCATCATGAAAGCGACAAATAAACACATGGAAAAAATTCAAACCATCTTATGACTTGTAAGGATATGTATGTCTCATAAAAGACAGATAAATAGGAGATAGAAGTTCAAATAATTCCTCAAATTACCTACTCTGTTGCTTCAAAAATATTTTAAATATATATGCTAACTTGTTTCATTTATATACCTAGTTTCTCTTAGATCACTGAAAATAAAGTTTTGCGCTATTATCTATTTGTTCTTTGTAAAGAAGTCTTGTCTATGTCTTGTGCCCTAGGTACTTTTAAGAGTATGATACACAGTGTAGTAAGTCTATTGTTATTCTCTTATTTTGTTTTGAAATTTTATTTTTTCATTAAAAAATAATATGTAAGTCTCAACTGGGTGTAGTAGTGCAGGCCTGTAATCCCAGCACCCAGGAGGCTGAGGCAGGAGGATTGCCACAAGTTTGAGGCCAGCCTGGGCTACATCATTTTGAGTTCAAACCTGGTAGACTAGACCCTATCTCAAAAAAACAAAAAGTTCTCTGGTTCTGGATCTTCAGATATACCGGGTCCCACAGGGATCTTCTTTACTGATTGATGTTCTAGACAACAAAAGAAATATATACTTTATCCTTCCCATTTCTAATAAGTCTATGGCTATTTACAATATTAGAACACAAAGAGTAGTTAAAATAAACCATCAAATAAAAATCAGGGACTTTGAAGCCAGGTTCTGGTGTACAAGTATTCCATGAACCCCAAGGAAGTACCCTATCACTCAAATTGAAGGATAGCAGGCCCCAATTTGCAGAAACAATGTTAAACTCTACCAATCACAAATCTTTTTAACTCCCAGTCTATTAGCAAGTGTCAGCAGCCATCAAATGAATGCATAAATAGAAAATATATTAGTGGACATGCAGACAGCTTGTTTTCTGAAGTGCACCTGGGCTGGTGGTGACCGTGTAGCACCTACAGATACAGAAGAGTACCATAGTTTCCATTAGAAAAATTATCCTTTGTGTGATATTATTAACTCTACCATTAATTCCAATGTTCACAAGTAGGAAAATGGATCTCAGATGTTCTACAATATGAGAAACACTGACCTAGGGAGGAAGAATAAGATAACATTTCACCACTCTTGGTAGTTATTTCTGAGTGCTGAATGGTTCTTTTAAGTGCTCTGGAAGCCAAACCTAAAAGGATAGCATGAAATAAGGTACTTACTACATGACAAAAGTATTCAAGTGAGTTCACTTAAGCAATGTACAGTGACTTTAGTCAGCTTTTTAAATATAAACCCATTAAAATGCCTAGAATAAAACAGCAAATAACAAATCAATGAAAGCGTTTCTGTGGGTAATATTATACATCTAACAATGTCAGTGATCTAATATGTTTAATATGGAAAAAGGACTTTGAAACCCAAGAGGAAATGACGTCCCTGAGAATAGAAGCGACTTATTAGATACTTCTTACAGAAGCTATGAATCTACTTGCCAGGAAAAAAGCACATCCACGGAATCTACATATACATACAGGGGGTTTATCATAGACTATTGTGTTCCAGTCTCTACAGCTGAGACAACAGAGTCTTGGTAGTGACTGCTCTTTCAGGATCTTGGGCCTCAGATCTGCCCTTCTTTCATCAAAGAAGCTACTTCTACCTTTATAGAATCTGGAAAGTTCTGATTTTTACTGCGAACACTGAGGACAATGGATACCCAGGTTCTGACCCCAAAGCCCACTGCCAACAAGCGAAGTGACAAGAACTTATTAAAATAAAAACTCATCTACAATTACTCAACATGCTGCCGAAAAGAAAATTTCAACACATTTGTGAACAAGCTGTACCAAATTGGGAACTGAATGGTGAATTGAAATAAATTGTGCAAACATATTTTCTAATCTTACAAATTTAAAAGTGCTTCCTTTGTGGCTCCCTCCCGAATTTGCTTCTGGGGTTGGCAGTCTCCTGCAAGGAAGCTTTCATTTTCTGCAACAAAGGCCTCAGAGAAAGCTAATGTAAGTGACAATGCCATGAGCCACATGTTCTCGAGAGCTGCCAATCATGTATAACCATACAGCTCCTCCACAGTGGGGCTCCCAACCAAACAATGAATGAACCACCCCCTGCAACCCACTCTGGGCACCCCTGGGGGTTCGAGTCATCACACCTCTTCTCCATCTCACTAATTGTCAGCTGACAAGGTTCATCCTTTGGTCAACAGGAGAAGTACAGATGCAGGTTTAAAAAACTCCGAATGGGAAAATAAACGTCCTCATACCCTCCAAAGGAGAGACTGTTAAATGTGAGAACCCAGAAGAAAGTGGGCAGGGCACATTTTCTTTTCTAACAAAGGTCAATGGGGAATCATCAGGAGTATGGGACTAAAATTAGAGATAGGATAATTTAATCTGTTGTTTTGGTCTTCTATCAATAACTGAGAATACTGACAAATCCTGCTGACACCATGAAGCCATCTCTCTCCTATTTTGTCTGCTGTGGGACGATGAAGAGGAAGTTTTCCTGTGATGGTTAAAAGAACATTGATTGGCAAGTTGAAAACAATTAGCCCCTCAGTTTCATTTCTGAGAACTAACATTTGAGGAGGAACAGTGAGTTGAGGTTTGCCAGGTATGGGGAATGCCTCTGAAATCAGTTTCTGGTAGGGGGAATCTGCTATAGGCACTTAAATAGCTAGGCTATAACTTTTTCTTTTCTCTTTCAAACCCTTTAAGAGTGGCTCACCTAAATAGATTCAACAAATTCCAATTGCTGCAATGTCTGATGAAAAGAAAATAGAATGTGAGAACCCCAACAGTGACAGCTACACCCACCAAAAATCTGGGAAGCCAAAGTTGAATCTGCTAAGTGTTGTCATTAATATTAATACTGACACCTTACATATCTTTTATTAGTGTGGCCTTACACTACAAGTGTAGCCATATGCTCCAACCACGCATGAATAAAATGCTTTAAAAAAGTTCCCACCTGGCTTTTAAAACATAATGATAGGATCCAGTTCAATGAGTATCTTACCATAAATGCTGACTTTTTAGGCAAAGTAGGTTTACACACACACACACACACACGCACACACACACGTGTGCGCGTGCGCACAACTCTTGCATAAAACCAGAGTAAAATCTACCCTGTGCATATATGCCAGGCTGCCAACTCTGAAAATAGTCTAGAAGGCACTGGCCCTTCATAAACTGTAGCACAAAGGATATCTTTGATTCTCTGAATCCTCGGTTAACAGTTTGAGGTCCAGGGTGCAGCTTTGGATCAGTTCATCTAACTTCTTCTCCTCCTGACTGAGCTCGGTCACTTCTCTGGACAGGCCTTGACACTGGGCCAGCATGCCCCCATCCTCAGACAGACTGCAGCCCCTACGACCCAAACACAGACTCTTCATGGCTGCTCTCGAGAACTGGTCCTGTGGGTAAATGTCCCCTCTCGACATGGGAGGTCACAGTGTGTGTGAGCCAAACGTTCAAATTAGAACTTTATATATGTTTTTTCATAAAGAAGGTCCTGCACTTTTCACACCACTGATACTAGGTGAAAAAGCAGACATTTTCAGAGCTCTTTCCTGCAAAGGAGGCCCATTTAGAAGGCTCAGATTTAGAGGGCAAAAGGAGGCAGCCACCTGGCTCCTTAGCCACCTACCCACCATATACCTCCTGGATTAGGGAAGCTAGAGACAAAGAAAGATAGAAAAGATGGGATGGCTCAAGAAAAAAAAAGATCAGCCATAAGCATGAAAGACCCAGGTAACTTCTGAGAGTCTTTTATCAACAGCTAAAAAGAAAGTGGTAAAGGAGGCAGATCCATCAGTTACCTGCAAGAACAAAGACCAATACTCAATAAATCAAAATGGGTTACTGAACTATCCAAAATCCCAGTAAGGACAAAAAATTTACTCATTCATTTTATTATGTTTGAATTGTATTAATGCTATACTTTCTAAAATCTAAAATACTGGCTGTTTAGATGTTGTCTGCAATTCACACATGACCTTACTGCATATTTAATCAGATCTGTAGGTATACAGACATCCTTGCTCTATAGAAAAAACTGAGGCACTTAAGCCTTGCCTTTATTTACACAGAAAGTGAACTGATCAGTCCAAACCAAGGTTAAAGATACTTTGTGATTGTGTGATTATACATGTACATCCAGAAGACTATAAGCCATAGTTAATTTCCAAATTCCTATGTGGGACAAGCCAAGGACATGCGTAAGCACCCATCAAAACACACGCGTGAGCACACAGACATCAGTGTTAGAACAAGCAGCATTCTAGTTTACAAATGGATTCCCCTGCTTGATACTAAGCAAATATTGCTCCTTTCATCTCAGACAGTATCTAAACAGAAAGTCCCCATGTAAGAAGACTATGAAGTTCTGTTTAAGAAGCTGAGGAGAAGTAGGGTATGGTGGCACTGGCCTGTAATCCCAGCACTCTTTGGGAAGTTGAGACGGGGGATTGCCAAGTTGCAGTACAGCTTGGGCAGTTTAGCAACTTAATGAGACTTGCTTCAAACCAAACCAAACCCAGAACAAAAGGGTTAGGGACATAGTTCACAGAAAGGGCCTGAGCTCAATCCTAGTTCCAAAAAAAAAAAAGAAAAAAAAAATCAAGGAGTTGAGAGAAGAAAATAAGAGAAGAAAAGAAATGAACATGTAAGTTGGAATGGGGCAAACAGAGGCTGGGCATGCGGGTCTCACTCACATCCACTGGACGTTGTTCTTGGACTTCTTCTTGATGAGATGGATGCCTTCCAGCACGTTGGTGATGTCGTAGATTCTCCTCTTTTGCACTTTGAGCACCTCTGCTGCCTTATTCAAGTCCAAGACCCCATCGGGTGACTGGCTCAGGAGCTGAATGAACTTCTTGGTGAGCAGACCAAGGGACGTGTCATACCGTGTTTTTTCTGAGGGAGATTTTGGAGCTTAAAGGAAAACAAAAACCGAACGGGTGGGGGATAGGGGGAGAGGTAAAGAAATGAAGGGTTTCTGTGCAGTTAAGCAAGCCAGCTCTTTCCCATTGCAGCCCGAGGATTAGTATCTGAAGCAAAGCTGTTGCTTTTGGTGAGTTACAGAAAGCCATGGAATTGCTTTACTAGAAAAAGAAGGGACAATAGAAATTCCTATGCCTGATGACCATGTTTCCCTTAAACTTCTCAGTAGCTCCTGCTTTGGCTTACCCACCTCCCTATGGTCCATGGGAATTGGGCCTGTGGGGTCTAACCCGATGGAGTAAGGGTACGCGCTCTCCCGGGCAGGTTCCCACAGACTTCTCTTTGCTGGCCTCTTGGGCTTGTGGCACTATCATTTGTCTGCCACTTTTTCAAATAATATTTCATTTTGATGAGGAATACCTGGAAGTTTTTCTATCAAATCTCCCCATCTCTCAGCCAGGCATGGAGGCACACGCCTGTAATCCCAGCACTCCATAGGCAGGGGCAGGAGGAGTTTGAGGCCAGCCTGGGCTACATAGTTAGTTCAAGCCCAGCCTGAACTGCATAGTGAGACCCTGTCGCAAAAAACAAAAGTCCCCACCTCTTATAAATTTTCTTATTTAGTACTGTGTTTATTCTCTTATGGGTGCACAGATCAACATTTCTGGGGGGGGGGGTTGGGTACTGGGGATTGAACACAGGGCCTTCGTACTGAGCTACATCCCCAGCCCTGTCTGTCTAGTTGGTCAGTCTGTCTGGTCTGTCTGTCCATCCGTCCGTCCATCTATCTAAATTTTGAGACAGGGGTCTCACTGAGGTGCTCAGCCTGGGCTTGAACTTGTAATCCCCCCAGCTCAGCGTCCCAGAATGTTGGGATTATAAGCATGTGCCATCACACCTGGCCAGATCTATGTTTCAATTTAGCATTACACATGTTTTGTGGATGGGCTGATACATAAACTACAGGCAAGGAAGAACAAAGTCTAATTTAGCCTTTGCATCAAATGCAAAAACATAAATGACTATTTAGCCATTTCTAACTTACTTCTCTCTCTCCCAAAAGAAACCGTGAGAGCGTTCCATGGAAATGAACTAGCTGCAATTTATCAGGCACCATCAGTTCTGCTACTGTGTGCTGGGCTGGTGTCTGGAGTCGGCACGGACACTGCTAACTAGTACAGTTCATCTACACCCAGCCAGTCTAAGACTCAGAAGTCCTGTCCATTACTGGAAATCACAATTAAATTTGGTTATAGAATGATGCTTATATTCTGACTTGAAAATGACGCTGCCTTCAGTTGAAGATGTCTTCCCTTACGCCAGTATTCTGGTATCAGAGGTACTATAGCCTTTCACTAGGTGTCTGCAGACAGTGTCTTTAATTTTTAGATAGGCACAGAAAGGAATAAAAAGAACAAAACATGCCAACATTGTTCACACCTTGGCAATCTTCCAGCCATGAGCTTTGCAAGGTGGGAATCCCACACCCAGGAGAATAAGCAAAGAGATGAAAGAATCCTTACTTTTCGGGCTATCTGGACTTCGTAGTGCAGCTCTTCCTTTGCCCTTGGGGGTTTTTAAACCATCTGAGAGGTACTGATGACCGCTTTCTCCTAGCTCCAGCCTTCGCTTTGCCTGTAACACAAACAAAACAGCCTGTCATGGCTCATACAGACAATAATAAGAGTGGAGCTGGCTGTGCTCTGCTCTGCCAAACACTGCAGGCGCCTTTGGCTCTCAGCTCTCTGCCCCACCCCACCTGAAGGCTTGTCACTCCCTCCAGCCGGAGCCCAGGCCGGCCTGCAAACTCGTCACCTGCGATGATCCTGTGCCCACATGTGAGTAGACAAACCCAGTGATCCTTCAGTGTTAGGTTCAGATACGGCCCTGTTCACCGACTCAACACAGCTGCCAAGCATGCGGCGGGATGCTACAAATATCACACAACCCAGGGAGCAGCATGAATTTATATTTCCGGTCCATCTCCTATTATGGCCTGCACTGGACTCCCTTCCAAGTGCTCCCCAAAGCTCTGTGTTTACTTCTATCCTAACACTTACTGATATTATTGTAGAAGTTCTTTATCTATTTCTCATTTCCCTCAGGCAAAGACTCTTTGCCATTTATCTTTGTACACCCAGCGCTTGGCACACAGCCTGGGTTTCTGTAGGTATTCAATCATGCTCTATATATTCATCAAAAGTGACTGTATAGCAACACAACATGCCAGACTGCAAATGGTCCTCCATCAGGAAAACAAATACTGCAAATAGACAACTGTGGGCTTCAATCAAACCTGGCAAGTGAGGAGCCTTTAACTAAGTTTTTAATTTAATTCCATGTCACTGTGAAAATACCAGTTTAATGTCTTTTATGTACAGGGAACTGTGGGAAATAGAAGTAGTAAGCAAGAGCGGGTACCTATAATCTCAGCACCCTGGGAGGCTGAGGCATGAGGACCACAAGCTCTAGCCCAGCCTGGGCAACTCGGTGACTGACTCAGCAAGACCTTGCCTCGAAATAAAAAGGGCTGGGGAAGTAGCTCAGTTTGAAGGCCCTGGGATCAGTCCCCAGTAACACACACACACACACACACACACACACACACACACACACACACACGCAGAAGTAAGCAAGATAGATAAGAGCCCCTGCCTTCCTAGGGCTTAAGAGTCCAAGAGAGAAGACAGAGGACCAAGTAACTGCATGAGTATGATGGGTGGTTACACAGAGGTGGCTCCTAGGGCCAGGGATTTCGCTCAGTGGTTTCGCCACCTCCTGCGCAAGCGCAAGGACCAGAGTTCGATCCCCGGTACCCAAAAAAAACACAAAAAAACAAACAAACAAAAGAGGTGGCTCCCACCAGACACCCAGCATGGCAATATATACATACATACATACATACATACATATATATATACATATATATATATATATATGTATATATATATGTATGTATATATATTGGCAACGGGGATCAAACTGTGGTCCTTGCGCTTGCAAGACAGGTGGCAGAACCACTGAGCTAAATCCCCGGCCCCTGGGCAACATATATTTAGGTTCATGGTGGGGTAGATCTTTCTAGTGAGATCCATAGTTTCAGGTGAACTCATTATATGGAAACACAAGCAATAACTTATTAAAGGATGACAGATATCCAACTTCTTTATGAGAAGTCATTACCCAACCTGAACTTTCCCCTACTGTAGCCACTGGCCACTAGCCCTAGTGAATTTGTGTGTGGTAAGTGTAAAACACATACTGGATTCTGAAAACATGGTGGAAAAAGAACTACTGGCAAGAAGGGGTTGTGTCCTTTCCAGTGAGCTGATAAGCTGGGGTCTAAGGCCATCATTCAAAACTCTGGCTCCTGCCATGCACTGGGGCCAGCAGTTGGTCTTCCCCAGACTTCTCAGTTGCTTTAGCCAACACAATCTCCTTTTTGGCTTGAAGAATTGTGAGCTGGGAACCTGGAAGTCAGGACCGAATGCAAAGGGGAACTGGTAGGCCCTGGTTGAAAGTGGCACAGTGTGTGGGTCACTTCTTCCGGATGTCAGGAAGCATCACAGGTAAGAGCCAAGCTTCCTTTGAGGCAGGACCACCTAAAAGCAGACAGCCTTGCCACGGAGGTCTTTTCTCTATGTAGAAAGTAATCCAAGAAGACACAGAGCTATGTTCTCTACCCAAGCTCAAGTCAATGGAAGGAAAGCAAAGTTGGAAAAGAGTCGAGGACCCTAAGGTTTTCATCATCTCTTAACACTCACAGTTCGGAACTACCCTCTGGCCAGTAGCCTGGGGACAGGTTAGTTTTGCCTCTCCAGGATCTTACTTAAATTGCCTGGAGGCAAGGCCTGTGGCGGCATAAAGCTGTAGGCTGGGGAAATTCCCAGAGGCCTGTTGCTAAGAGATTTAAGTCCAACTTCAAGGACCATGACTAGCCTCCATATGTGACTTTGGTTACTAAGCAGCAAACTAAGTTGGCTAAATCTAAATATTAGGCAGACAATCTACTAAATTTTAAAGGCACTTTTATTGCCAGAGAATGACTAAGTTTAGAAAGCAAATGCCTGTGATGTCTCAGCCTCTAAGGGAATCAATCACTGGGCCCATAAATCCACACCAGAAATAAATGAGTTGTAAAAGGAAGGCAGCCCCAGAAACCATTCTCATCTCCACCATGTCACCAGTGGCAGCTGTTCCTGTTGAAGACGTGATGGTCGAATGGACTTGATCACCTTATGGTGCTTCTCCTTTTCCAAATGGATGATTCTGCTGGGTTGTTCCTTATCTTTCCTCCACTGCTTTGTGAATGGAGGGCTGGACTGGACTGGACTTGAAAGGACCACTTAGTACCTGTAGGTCCCAGATCTGAACATGGATGGAGTTAATGGACTCTGAAGGGCTAAGAATTTTGATATATATTGGAAGATTACTTTAATGCTTAGCTTAGCAAATTCAAGCACACATGCCTGGCACCACATAAAGCTTGATGGCAAGTGATCTCTGCCTCCAGCCCCTTTCCATGACAATCTCCTCTCTGTCATCTCAATTTTGTTTGCTCAGAATGTGAGCATCTAATTGAACGGAGAATTGTGATATTCTAAGGCAGTGGTGGTGGAACCTATGGCATGTGTGATATTGTGTTTTTCTTTTAAGGCAAAAGACGTTAACGTACAGTTTTTTTTTCCCCTCAAAACGAAAACCTCAGTATTCAGGCTTAATTGCAGTGCTGGCACTTTGTTATAAATAAGTGGGTTTGGGTTTGCATTTGACACTCAAAGGGTTCACATCACTGTACGATACATGTGGTCTTCATCCAGTTACCGGGCACACAACTCTTAAGATCCTTGAACTCTCCTAAGATCCTTAAACTGTTTTCTATGTTAATAAGTTAACCAATGGCTACCCACTGGTAAGACCAAGCCATGATGAGAGGGTTGGGACCTTTAGCCCTAACCCCAACCTCCAAGGAGGGGAGAGGGGATGGAGGCTGAGTTGATCACCAATGGCCAATAATTTAACCAAATCATGCCTACTCAATGTAACTTCCTTCAAAGTCAAAGACTGGGTCCCAGAGCTTTTGGACAGCTGACCATGTAAAATCCTGGAGGGTGGTACCCCAGAGGGGGATGGAAAACTCCACACCCCCCCACCTCACCCTACGCATCTTTTCATCGGTTTCCTTTGTAATAGCCTTTATAATAAACTAGGAGATATAAGTAAAGTGGTTGCTTGAGTTCTGTGAGCAGCTCAAGCACATCAGTTGTACCCCGAGGAAGCGGTCATGGAAATCCCCATCTATCGCTGGTTGAGCACATGGAACTGGGGGACAGTCTTGGAAACTGGGCCCTCAGGCCTGTGTTATCTTGTGCTGCCTATGGGGAGATAATATCCGAACTGACATCCAGTTGGTGTCCACTGCCGAAGTGATCAGTGTGTGGAGAAAACTGTCACACATTTGCCACAGAAGTCTTCCAAGTTGATTGCTGAGTAAGAGTACAGGACAGACTGAGTTTGTTTTCTTCCTCAATATTCTTACAAGGGTTATTTTACTGTTTAAAAGCAGAATGTTGTATTACATGGTCCCTATCAGTAAAGAAAATAATCCAAGCTGGTGCTCAAAAGAAGCACCAGGCATTTGGCCCTGACAGGGCAGAGACTGGTATGTGAGATGCTAAGAACAGTTCTCACGTGGCATCTTCCCACAGTATTTTCAAGGGTAACTTTTCCTCTAAACAAGGTTTTTACAAACTTTAGAATCTCAGCCTCATATAAGATGACATGCCACTGGTAGTGGATATCTGAAAAGAATGATAACCATTAGGCATCATGGGTGGTGGGGAACAATGCTCAGTTTTGCCTGTCTGGTATTTACTGTCCCCATTTCTTCCTTTGGGAAAGGAACTCTTCCAGAGTTCTTATTTGAAGTGGTTTCTACTAGTCTCCAAACCTGAGAACTAAAGGGCTGAGGTTGCTCAACATTTTAGGTTGACCCTTCCCAACAAGGTTATAGAGACAAGTATTGTAATCCCTCATCAAAATCAGTTTATTTCAATCCTGTAGCTAAAGTGTTTTGTTTGAGGTTGTGCCCATTACCAGTGGATGATGAAACAGTCAATCTTGGGATTTTTTTTGTTGGTAACCACCGGGAAAGTACTGGGCTCTTTTCATGGGAAAAGGCAGGTAAGATGTAAGCCGGGAGCTACTTGGAAGCTGAGCCAACACAGAAGTAAAGTTAAGAGGTGGAAAGAAGCTGCCCTGATATCCTCAAGAGAGGTATTTCATACAGCCATGCCCAAAGGTGGACATACCACAAACACTATTTATGTGATACAACAAATTCCACTTTGGTAAAAGGCAGGTGAGTGAGATTACTACCACCTGCAATCAGGAATCCTTATGGATAAACTTTTACCATTAATTATTATACAATGAACATTTAAGTGCTTACCAAGTTACTTGCTTTTAACTCAATTATTTTATTTCCTTTTCACAACCCCATGAGGTAGTTATTATTACTTTCTACATGACAGGAGGAAGCTGAAGTTCAGAGCACCTAAATACTTTCCCAGGATTGCAGAAATGGCCAAGTGTGCTTATTCAAGTCCACATTTATGACCATTTCAAGAAAAGAC